TCAGTGGTGGTGGTGGGGTGGTCTGTCTACCAGGATCTACATGTGTTCCAGCCATAGGCATAAGCACTTTCCAAACTTCTCTTATTTACTCCCCAACAACACTAGGAGACAGGTATGATTATGCCTATTTTATAGATGGAGAGCCCAACTTGTCCACAGTCCTCAGCTCACAACTAAGGAGCAAAGCAAAATTCACACCCAGCTCTGTCTGACTGCAAACTCCTAGCCCTTTACCCTCCTGACTCGGCCACAGCCTCTGTGCCATGACAGACGCTTGCCCCGGGTGCAGGACCTCGGATTCTGTCTCGGGGAAACTTCGCGCTTAGGTCCAGTCTCCCAGAGGATGGACTTTCGCTTGAGCCACAGCCATGACGGAGAAGGTTGAGGAAGGCCCTCCAACAAAAAAAGCAGCATTTCGAGTTTGAGACTTGAGTCCACAGGATGAAAACTGCTCTTTTTAGAGAGCAAGAAGGTTAAGGAATGCAAAGGTGGCTTGGCTATGCAGGACAGACTTCTTTCCAGAGCCGGCCGGGAGTCGGCTTCAGCTCATGACAAGGGAGTTCCTGGGGAAGTGGTGAGGAGCACGAAGTTGGCCAGAGGCCAGCTGTGCTCACATGAAGAACAACCAGAGCATCCATCAACATACACGCTGCAGTCTTGGAAAAGGCCGGAATTCAGAGTCATAGGAGAGTCGGTGGGGCATCAGCCAAAGAAGATCATAATTTGAAAAGACTCCAGAGAGAGAAGCTGTTTCTAAAAGGTGGATTCCACAGATGGATTTGCTGAAGCCCTTTCATATTTGCAAATGGAACTCCTGTGACTATGGCCACCTAAGGAGTTGCTCCAACCTAGTGACATCAAACAACTATTTATTATGCTCACAGAGTCTGTGGGTCAGGAATTTGGACAAGGCATGACAGAGACAGCTTGGCTGTGCTTCCTGATGGCCTCAGCTGGATGACTCCAAGGCTCAGGGCTTACCATCCCTTGAAGGTTCTTCCTTATATGTGTTGGGTGGTGGATGCTGGCTTGGGGGCCTCAGTTCCTCTCCATATGTGTGTGTCCATGGGGCCCCCTCAGCACTAGTTTGGACCTCCTCACAGCTAGGGGCTGGGTTCTGAGGGTGAACTTTCTAAGAGAGAGCACCGAGTAGAAATCATATTGCTTTGTATGATTTGGTCTTGGAAGTCCCTTGGCATCATGTGTATCTGTCAAACACAAAGGCCAGCTCAAGTTCCAAGTTTACTTGGTGCAAATGGTCAGATTCTGGAAAATATGTGGGACTGGAAATATTGCTTTGGTGACTTTTGGAAAATGCAATCTGTCACAATGAACAAAACAAGTAGACTCTACACCAATATTAATCTATAAACATACTTTAGTCTTCTCTCTGACTCAGCCTCGCTGTGGGGTCATGACTTGGTATCCTATAGACAACATATATATATGTGTGTGTGTGTATATATACATATATATATATATTCTGACTCCTGCTTACGTATTTTATTTAGGCTGCATGAGAATCAAGATTGCAGATTATCTTCAAAAATTAGAAATTCTACCAATATGAGCTGAAATTCTTGCATGCCAACATTTGCCAGAGCAGAGTATCAGCTGCTCTCTCTAAACCAAGTATATACTCTCCACTTGACCTGTTCACTCGAGACCTTATCACTTGGGTGTTTTCCATGAATTTCAGCCTATTTCGTTAAGTGCCTGGCCCCCACAGATACTGAGTTTCTGATCCTTAGCATAGAGGATTTGGCTGCCCCTCGTCTAACCACCTAATGGTAATTAGCGAAGAGATCAGATCTCCACTTGAGCTAAGAAGATAGAAATATAAGTGAAATCATTCCATTCAGTGTACATTTTAATTGGTTACTATGTCTGCTTGTGTTTGTCCTAAGTTTGCCTAAGAGATTGTAATGAAAACATTATTTGTTCTTAGCCCTAATTGTCTTTGATTTGAACAAATATCTAAGGAGGGCTTTGGGTCTGGGGTAAACAACTGGGGTATCAGGACCTCTGTGTTGCCAGAGGTGAAGGAAACTCATTAGATGAGCCTAGAGTAAGGGCTTCATTCACCTAGGATCAAGGCTGAGGGATTCTGTGATCCCCTGAAATTATAACTTATAATTCTGTGCATGTGTTATGCATGTGAGAATGAATATATATTTATACAGGTTTTTTCAACAGTCCTTGACCCCAAAAAGTTAAAAATTTCTGTAATGTCTTCCAGAACTTCCAGATACAGAAAATCAGGGTGGTGACAACGAGATTTCAAGGGCATTTGTTGCAGGGGAAAGCTGGGAGGGATGCCCAGGAAGAGACCAGAGGCCAGACTTGGCAAGGGGTCGGCACAGTGCCAATGTGAGCCCAGAAGTCAGAGCAAACCTCCCTGAAACTGCTCTTGTTAAGGTCACCAATAACTTCCGTGTTGCCGAATCCAGTGGTCAGTTCTAAGCCCCCACCTCACTTGATCTACAAGCCACTTACCCCGAATGAACATTCCTCCTCCTTGAAACACTTCCTTCATTTGGCCTCCAGAACTCCAACTTTCCCTAGGTTTTTCCCTGCCTCATTGGCTACTCCCTCTAAATCCCCTTTGCTGGGTCCTCATCTTCGCCCTGACTTCTAAACTTTGGAAGGTCCTAGGACTCCTCCATAGACATTGACTTCCTTGGTGATATTGTCTAGTCCCATGGATTTAAACAACATCTATATCCTGAAGGTTTCCAAATTTATCTCTCTTTATAATACAACTGACCTTCACCTTTTTTTCAGAACTCCATACTTAGATATTTAACTGCCTATTTTACGTTTCCACTTGGATGATTTAAAAGGAGTCTTAAACTTTCCAAGACTTAACTCTTCTGTCTTTCCCCTGCCCTCGCCCTCCCCCAACCAATTCCTCCCTCAGCGAATGGGACCCCAAGGACCTCTGGAGGAGAGCCCTCTCTTACCTCTCAGCACCACATGCTGCCCTGAATTTTTCCTACTTTAGAATCAGGACAGCCACGATCAAATCAGGAAGCCTAATGGAGATCGCCAAGCCAGTCCAGCCAGCACCTCCCATGGGTATTCGAGGTAGACAGAAACCCCCAGAGTTTCCTGCTCTTCCACAAAATGGACCCCAATTGACATGTGGCCAAGGACCAGCCCATCTTAATGGAAACCTCAATCATGGCAGCCTTGCAGAGGAGGCTTTGAGGAACAGAAACACAGGGGATGTGAGCCTTCAGGTTGCATTTTTTTTTTTTAAGGGGAAGCCTATTTGGGGGGCGGGTGGAGCATGCACGAAGTGGAGGTTTTGAAGGTAGAATATGAACAAATCAAAGGAGCAACACAATTTGAAGCAAATTAAGGCTGAATGGGAGACAGAAGGCAGTTCCCCCGAGGGATGGAGTCAGCTCTTTAATGGGGCACTGGCCCCTCATGCGATTATTCTGATAATGAACGGCCACCAAAGAAAAAGGCCCTGACGTGCTTCTCCCTGAGTCCCAGCAAAACACTGAGATGAACATTGTTTATAAAATGCTTCAAAGGACCAGATGACAGGCTAGAAGCTATTATTGTTTCTGATTTGCTCTGTAGTTCTGCCATGCATATTTATAATACAATTCAAGAGGCAGCAATACCTCCCTGGAGACACACAGATTATCCTCCAGGCTGGGCTGTGGCAGATGATCGACATGATGCCTGACATCCTTCCTGTTCCAAAGAGCTGCTTCTGGGTGGCCTCAACCCCGGTGGCTCTAGATCTTGGCATTTAGGAACCAGGTGAAAGTTCTATCTTTCCTGAATGTCTTCTCTCACGCCCGGCTGGAAGGAAGTTCTCCCTCTTCTCAGCTCTCTTCACACTTTATCCAGCCCTCTACTACAGTTCTCGTGATTGGGGTGCCTGGGTGGCTCAGTCGGTTAGGGCTCTGATTCCTGATCTTGGTTCAGGTCTCCATGTTAGGGTCGTGAGTTCAGGTCCCCAGTTGGGCTTGCGCTGGGTGTGAAGCCTGCTTAAAAAAAATAAAAGAAAGTTCTCATGATCTTCTACTCTTCATGATAGTTACTTCATGTGTCTGTACATGCGTTCCTTTTAGAGTTTGGTCTTGTGGAGGCTCTTAGAGTTTGGTCTTGTGGAGGCTCTTAGAGTTTGGTCTTGTAGAGGGCACGAGCTAAGGCTCATTCATCTTTGATTCTCTGGCGTTCTCCACAGTGCCTGACACCCACAGATGCTGAATGAAGGTTGAGACACAACTCTGTGTCTGATTCCAGCGCCAGACAGAATAGATACCACCCCACAGGGAATGGTATGAAGCATTCCCTGAAGCCTCCAGCCTGTCTGTTTGAAATGCCTACAAGACATCTTTGCATAGGATCAATTGAAGGGCAAAATTTCAAAGATGGAAGTGGTGACGGGAGACACAGCATCTTAGTATTAATATGTTAATTTTGACTGAGAACTTACTAATTTTTAATTAATTACTTAATTGTTGTCTTAGTTCATTTGGGCTGCTAGAACAAAGTACGATAGGCTGGGTAGCTTATAAACACCAGCAGTTTATTTCTTAATACTCCTAGAGACTAAAAGTCCAAGACCAGGGTGCCAGGGTGGCCAGGTGAGCACGCTCTGCGGGGGTTGCAAACTTGGCCTTGTGGAACAAGGCAGAAAGGAGTGAGGGAGCTCTCTGGGGTCTCTTGTGTAAGGGCTCTAATTCTCCTTAGGAGGGCTTCACCTTCATGACCTAATCACCTCCCAAAGGCCCACACCTCCTAATACCAGCACCTCGAGGGGCAGATTTCAACACAGGAGTTCTGGAGGGAACACATTCAGACCAAAGCGATTGCTAAAGAATATTGCCTAAGAACTTAGTATTGCCAAAGCTCTCTTCTCGGTGCTTTGCTTGGACCATTTTTACAACAACCCCATGAGCTAGGTCTCATGATCATACTTTCATAAATGAAGAAACAGAGCCATAAAGCGGTTTGTTTCCCTGTTCCCACAGCTAGTAACTGGTGGATTCAGGCTCTGGACCCAGGCAGTCTGGCCTCAGCACCTGAGCTCCTAACCAATCTCCTGTTGCTGTCATTTCCCGGATCGGGGATCGAGGTCCTAAGAAAATGGGACACGGTATCTTAAGAGAATAGCAGGCACAACGGGTAAGTTTTGGCCATGAGGAAAAACTAGAAGGTGTGAGACAGGCGTACTGCTTAAAGAGACCTCTGAACTGCAGTGTATGGGGTACCCAGTGCGTGGTTAGCTGGCGCTGTGGGTGCGGACTCAGGTGTGCCGTCCCCGTCTCCCTCCAGGAGGGCGTGCGGTGAGGAGGGGAGCCAGGGAACCGCCTCAAGCTGCTCCAGATTTAGATCTCCCCATTCATGCTTGCTGAGGCCATGGCCTCCCGGCCTCTTCCCAGCCCATGACGAGGCTCGGCAGGAGTAGGACAGCCTGGTCGGCTCTGTCCAGGGCAGGCTCCTCTGGTGGGAGGGGAATGTTTGCCTTGGGGCTCCCCGTTGGCCTGGTTGAGACTTCCTGGGAGCTCACTGCCATCAGAGGCTCCTCTTACCCAGGGTCCTTCCTTCCCTCTCTCCTCTCACAGGGGTCCGACCCGAAGCAGGGAGTGGGGCCTTCCGCCTCTCAGCTGCTCCCTTGCCCCTTGATCCTTCACAGGTGCTTCCCCAGTACATCTCTGGCGTGTCTAATACCGTCTTGGCGTTTGCTTCTCAGAGGACCCGAACTGACTCACTGAGAGAAGAAGTGAGAAAAAATGACCCTTAGTCTGCCTGGGCTGCTATAACAAAATACCCAGAGACTGGCATGACAGACATTTGTTCTTTGGAGGCATGTGAACATCCAGCCACACCACCCTTCTCCTGTTTTGACTATAATCTACTTAAGAAGATTAAATTTACAGACAAGAAATGGCTAAGAAACCATTCAAGGTGGGCGCCTGGGTGGCTCAGTTGGGTAAGCGTCTGCCTTCGGCTCAGGTCATGATCTTAGGGTCCTGGCATTGAGCCCCACGGTGGGCTCCCTGCTCAGCAGAGAGTCTTCTTCTCCCTCTACCCCTCACTCGTACTTGTGATCTCTTTCTCTCTCTCATGCTCTCTCTCTCTCTCAAATAAATAAATAAAATCTTAAAAAAAAAAGGAAAAATTCAAGGCATCCTACAATTTCTGAAATGTTTTGAATTTATAATTCCCTCTTTTTTTCGAGAAACGTCACAGAGTGCTTACATAAATACACAGGACCCAAAAGCTAAAAAGAAAGGGTGGAGGGGATCCAGGCAAAGGGAAAACAGGTCTGGAGAGTGACTAGTGAAGGAAATGTGGAGACGGGGACATGCAAGACGCATGCACAGATCTACCTCAGAACTCCCCAGTGGCCCAGCACAGAGGAGCTCCTGGTATCCACAGGACTTACCAAGAATGACATAAAACCAATGCAGTTCCTCCAAACATGCCCTGCTTTTCTAGTTGCCAAGACCTGGTGCCTTGAGGAATGCTCCTGGGGTTCCTGGTCAGGGCGGCTCATTGTAATGACACTCGGATGGTGGTCCCAAACAACACCCCTAAAAGCTACGATCAGATGTTGCCCAGGGCTGTTTCTCCTGGCAGCTCTGCCTGGGGAATGGCCCATTCAGAGCAGCTGTTCTGTGACAGCGAGTCCCTGGGGCTCAACCTCATCAGTGCACAGCCCTTGCACCATCTGCCTGATCTGGCCATAAAACTCGGAACATGCACATGGAGGAAGGAATGAGGTGTTCTTCCTTCATCCATCCATAATCACGATCTCTCAGAGACAGGGTTCAACTTCTCCTTGGCAAATTAAAGGGCTGAATCAAGACAAGGGCTGGAAGTGGTGCAAGGGAGATGATCTCCAAAGAAGCATGAAATTTACGATTATGGGGAATGTGAAAAAAAGAAAATGGGAAGAAAGAAAACCTGAACCCCCCACGTCACCCACGGGCACTGCCTCCGACCACCTTGGTCTCAGGCTTACGCCACTGTTCTCGGGATGGCACAGCGAAGGTCGCTGGCTGGGTCACCCAGACACACAGGGGCCAGTGCGCTTCCCACCGCTTTAACCTGAATGATCGGCTCGGGCACGGACCACTTCTGGTTATGCTGTGGGCTCACATCTCAAGCCCAGCTAAAGTCACCACTAAAAATGTGGCTTGACTTGAGAAGAGCATATTGTGTTTAGTGGAGAACGCAGGTAAGGGAAGCAGTGATGTCCCGGGGTAACTGAGCTATTGCTGTATCTCCTGAAACCTGTGACTCCTCATCAGATCCATTCTACCACCTCTGAGGCCCCCTTTTCTCTGAACTGAGAGAATTCGAATGGAAGGTGTTTCTCAGGGAACATTATCTCTACATGGACTGGGACTGCCATTACTCCCTTTTCATGTGTTAGCAATGGGACACTGACAGATGAAAGGCGAGTTGAAATGATGCCCTGGCTTTGCGGGACCCATGCTTTTCTCTCTTTCTCTGAGCCAGAGGCTCAGGAGAGGAAATGTGCTTTGTAGAAATGGCAGGCACCGGGGGCTGAGTGGCCAGCATCCCCGGTGTCCTTCCTGGGTCCCACGTAGGTGGACCCGGGGCAGTGGGCCAGGTGGACTCCTGCCCGTCTCAGAGCTCATGCTGGGCACCGAGCGCTTCACGGGGAAGATGTTAGGGCACCAAATGCCACTATCAGCCACCATGCTTGTGAAGTACTTTGCATTTTATTGGATTCGCACACCATCCTGAGAGCGAGTCGTCATCCACCCCCTGTGACAGCTGAGGAGACTGAGCCCGGTACCCGTGGCCTCTCATCTTGCTGAAGGTCGCCGTGTTAGTGTGTGTTGGGTCCAGAATTTGAGTCCAAATACGCAGAATCGTGTTCCTCACTACTGGAGATGTTTGGGGGCCAGAGCGAACAAATGAGCAGGAGAGAGATTTGGGGCGCTCAGACTGTGATTCAGCGTGGCCACGGTCAGTCGTGACACAGTGACGCTGGCAGGGCTCTTTTCCCGTGGGCCCAGAGTATGCAGAGGCCTTGGTAGACAAACGGAAATGGATACCAGTTGAACTTGGGATTTGCTTGCTTGTTTTCTTCTGTTTTCGCTTGTTTGTTCTTGTGGGGGAGAGGATAATATGTAGTAACCTGCCCTAGTCAAGCAATTAAAAATCAAATACTAAGCACCCATTATTTTTTCTGAGGTTGGGAGGAAGTGCAAATGAATAACGTGAAGCCTCTGTGAGAGGCCAGAAGCTCCCATCTCTTGCGGGGGCGTTAATCCCGTGAGATCTCTCGCACCCCTCGAAAGAAGACACGGTGAGAAGATGAAGAGGAGGCGGCGACTGCACCTGTGAGGATCCGGGAAGGCTCCTGACAGACTGAAGCTAGACCACGAGGGATGGGCATCACTTGGAAGGGCAGATGGCCCTCGAGGGTAAAGGGACAGTGTGAGTGAGGGAGAAGCAGGGACATTTGAGAAACTACAGGCGGACCAAGCACAGGGGCCAAGGTTGGTGGTGTTTATTATGATCTTGAACAACTAAGTTTGCACCATTACTTAGGGAGGGAAGACTGCAACGGAGGTTTGGAATGGCCCCAAGTGACAGCCACTGGCCTCCTTCAGTGACGGTTCCTAATAGAGCAGAGTTCTCAGAATCAGAGCCTTCAGGGTTGGAAGCCAGGAGAGCCTGTCTCTCCCGCTTGCCAGCGTGTGGCCCTTGAGGTCCCTTCTCGGAACTCCCTCTGCAACCACTCAGGGTCCGCCTCCCCTCCGCCCCCACCGCCCTGGACGGCTCTGCCAGCAGAAGACGCTCCCTCCCACCCAGCTGGAATCCGTCTCGGTCCAGACTCACCGAGGCTCATTCCCCATCCACACAAGAACCTTCCACACAGATGAACACAGACTTCCCACCCTTCCTAGCCAAACACCAAATCTTCTCTTAACTGGACTAAATGTGGGGTGCTTTCAGCAGTTCCCATTCATCATTTTGGGTTTACTTGTTCTGCTCTGAACACGTGTATTTATTTCTCCTCAAGGGCAGGTTTGCTCTCTGAATTCTGGCAGCCCCCCGCCCCTCCCACCACCATGTGCCCGTGTGCACTCCGCTGGGGACTGGGAACACAGCAGCGAAGAAAACAGCTCGTCCATATGAGAGGTGGGAGAAGGTAGGGGTGGGGGCAGGGGAGAACTAAGGTTTATTATTCACTATACACTAGGCATTATGCCAAAAGCTTTACACATGTTATGGCTATTTCTTATAAACTGGGATCATTATCCCCATTTTGCAGATCAGCAAAATGAGGCTCAGGGAGCTGAAAGGAGTCAAGCAAAGTCAAGTAAGTGGTGGAGCTGTGATTTGCACCCCTCTCTGTGTGACCCCAGACAGGCAGACTGATATGTCACAAGACTAGCACTGTGTCTTGAGCATCTTTGAGCTCCATATTTAAAGATTTTATTTATTTGAGAGAGAGTGAGAGCAAGAGAGATCACAGAGGGTGAAGCAGACTCCCGATGGGCAGAGAGCCCAACGCAGGCTCCATCCCAGGACCCTGATATCATGACCTGAGCTGAAGGCAGACGACTGACTGAGCCACCCAGGCACCCCTGAACCTCCACATTTAGAACAGTGTCTTGCATACAGTAGGTGCTCAATGTTAAGCACATGTTTATACCCACCCTCTGAAAGCACTGACTTACTGTTATAAGCAAAACACATTCTAGCTGTATTTCCTCCAATTTCTTTTCTGGCTTCAAAACCACAAACTTTTCCACATGAGAGATCTTTCATTTTTCCTGATATGCTGCTGGGCCGTAGTGCTCAGGCTTCTGACAGCCTATTAAATAATGATGTCTGTCTTCACATGTTTTATGAGCCTTTTCCAAGGACCCACTCAGGAGATAACAGGAGGATGGATGTAGCAGTGTTGGTCCAGGGCTGATGGATGGCCTGCCTTGGGCAATTTTCAAGTAGAAGGGAAACAGACTCAAGAGAAACATTTTTTTTTTTTCTCTGACTTGGATGCCCTCCGCTAAATCATGCCCTCTGCCTCAGCCCAGCCAGGGTCCTACGGCGTCTAAGTCTCAGGACTAGAGCCCCTTTGTGGCTCATGCCAGGAAAGCGATGCTGAGCCCAGGCTGCCCCCTGCTCAGCACCCATCTCATCTCTTTCCCACTTAAGGCTTGGTCAATGAGACTCCAAAATTGCAGAATTTTCAAAACCCAAGGGACTGTGCCTTGGTTATTCTATGTGGGTCTCCGTCAGAATGTAGAGGGTAGAGGAGGCAGTAAGGACAACAGACAGGGAGGGCTTAAGTAGAGGAGACACGGACATGGAAGGAAGGATGAGAGGTCAACACCATGGAAGACCCTCCCAAGAAGTGTCCACATAGAACGTCTGGAAAACTGAGGCAGCAAGGGAAGAGTACGGCAGCTGCAGTCGGGGTCTGAGGCCCGGCCCTCCCCTGTGCCCCTGCCCAGGCCGGACTCAGAACTACTGTGGGGCAGTTGCCCAAGCCTGTTCAGCTCTGCTCACATCCTGCGAGTTGATTATAGCATTGCTCATAGTGGAGAGGAAACAGAAAATAAACAGAAGAGGGAAATAAAATGAACAGCCAGTCAAAAGGTGATTGCTGGAATAAATTATTGTAAACTTTCACCAGAAGGCCCCGAACTGTAGTGTTTGCCAGTTTCCAGGGTGTAAATTCTCCCACCGTGGACTATTTGAAGCTACTTGTGATTCATAACTAGCTCACAAAATTCTTGAATATTGACTAACTTGCTCTTGCAAGAGGTGAGTACTAAATACTAGATGGTTCCAGAATACCACTGAATCTTGCACATTGCCATGAAGAATGAGTTAGAACTATGCTAGTAAACTTGGAAATATTTCTATAAAATTTTGTTGAATAAGAATAAGAAAGGTAGGGAATTATGTCATGTGATCCCGTATTTGTAAAGCAAGTGTGTGTGGACATGGGCAAGCAACTGTGTGATCATACGAGCAAGGAGGAAAACATGGATGATACACATTAGGCTGTTGACATGGGTTATCTTGTGGGAGCTAATGTGGAAGGAGTGGGAAAGGAGGGAAAAGGGAAAGCAAGAAACAA